GGGATTTGAAGCAGAGGGGGATCCATGTATAAGAAGTTCTCTGCTACTGGCTTAAAGACGGAGGGAGCCATGTAGCAAAGAATGAGGGCAGCCTCTAGTAGCTGAAAGCAGCCCCTAACTGACAGCCAGCAAGAAAATGGGGACCTCAGTTCTACAACTAGAAGGAACTAAATTCAGTCAACAACCTGAATAAACTGAGAAGTGGATTTTTCCCCAGAGCCACCAAAAAGGAATGCAGCCTGGCTGACACCTTGATTTCAGCCTTATAATCCCGTAAGCAGAGAAATCTGGCCCACTGTGCCTGGATTACTCCCCTACATAACTAAAAACTAACAAATGGGTGTTGTTTTAAGCAGTTAAGATTGTAGTTATTTGTTATGCAGCAATAGAAAACTAATGCAAACTGGAAACAACTCAAGTGACCACCAACAAATAAATGGATAAACAAACTGTAGTATATTTATACAATGGAATACTCTCAGCAATAAAGAGAAATAAAACTACTGATACATGCAACAACATGAATAAATTAAAAATAATTCTGCTGAGTGAAAGAAGCCAAGAAAAAAGGAAGACTTTATACTATATGATCCCACTTTCATAGAACTCTAGAAAATGCAAACTAATCTAAAGTGATAGAAAGCAGATGAGTGGTTGCTTGGAGATGGGGACAGGGAAGGGTGGGAAGGTAGGATTACAATAGGGTACAAAAAATCTTAAAGGGGTGATAAGTAGGCTCATTACCTTAACTGTGATGATGTATATAAATGTATCTCAAAACTGTCAAAATGATAAAAATGATTCAGTTGTTCCTCAAGAAGCAGTTTTAAGAAGTAAAAATTTAATTATAATATTTTAAAAGGAGATGAAACAAAATTTGAACAAAATAAAAGTGATATTAAATGCTACATGTTAAAAACTAAGTAAACAGAAGAGTCTCAGGAACTTTTTTGATTTTAGACCCATTTAAATTCTACAATGAAAGATGAATCTGAAACTTTGCTAAAGTAATTATAGTTGATATGCATTATTTGCAGATTCTGTGTTTGTGAATTCATCTACACACTGAAATTTATTTGTTATCCCAAAATCAATACTCACAGTGCTGTTATAATTATTTACAGAAATGCACGTGGACAAAGTGGTGAAAATTTTGTTGAAGTACATGTTTTTAACTGAGGTCAAACAAGGCAATATTCTGTTTTGCTGTAGCTTTCATACTCTAGTCTTTTTGGTGATCTAGTTAGGGCCACAGTTTTTGCACTTTCATACTTCTTGTTGGTAATTTCACTGTTTAAAGTGGTCCCCAAACATAACGCAGAACACCATCTAGTGTTCCTAAGTGCAAGAAGGCTGTGATGTGCCTTACAGAGAAAATGTGTGCTAGATAAATTTCACTCTGCCGTGAGTTACAGTGCTGCTGTTGGCTGTGAGTTCTATGTTAATGAATCAGCACTATACCTTATGAAGTGTCTTTAAACAAAAGTACATGCAAAACAGTATAATAATTTCATCATTTGATGACAATGTTGTACTCAGAGGCTTGCAGGAATCTAACCCAGTATCTTCCCCTAGGAGAAATGTTTAAGCATTTGTTAATTCAGTGTTCACAGCAACTTTACAGAATATAACTACCAAGAATACTGAGAATTTTATTCTCAATGAACTATAGATCTAGGTCCTATAATCTAATAGCTTACATGGGTAGTCAAAGGCTTTAGAAATAATTATTTCTCTGATGACTTCTCCTTTGCCTATTTTTCATGTAAGTAAATCAAATCCAGTGAATTATGTAGATTTTTTGTCACTTATTCTCCACTGTAGATACTCTAATTTTTTTCCTTTAATGCTCAAGTTTCAATCTCATCTACTATTCTTAATTTCAGATGACCTCTCCATTTCATGCTTTAAAGCATGGATTTTCTTCTACTTATAAACATTTTAAAAAGTTATAAACCTTATAATTACAGGAACTGAAAAAATCCTGACCTTATGTAAAACAAGGTAATATTCTAACTTTCCTTCTTAAATTACTTTTAAATAACTTGGTTCAGTTGTTGCATGAATTGACAAGAAACATTATTGTAGTTGCTACAAGATTTTCAGAGGGGATGTATTTTTCCATATAACCAAATAGTGCCTAAATAAAATTCTATGTAAAAAATTAAAATTTTTTCAAAGGCAACAAAAGCAAAAATAAACAAGTGGGACTACATCAAACCAAAAAGCTTCTGTACAGCAAAGGAAACCATGAACAAAATGAAAAGGTATCCTACTGATGGGAGAAAATATCTGCAAATAATATACATAATAAGGAGTTAATATCTAAAATATATAAGAACTCGTACAAATCAACAGCAAAAAAATCAAACAATTCAATTAAAAAATGGGCAAAGGATCTGAATGATGGCCAACAGGTACAGAAGAGGTGCTCGACATCACTAATCATGAAGGAAATGCAAATCAAAACCACAATGGGGATATCACCTCACACCTGTCACAATGGCTATTATCAAAAAGATACAAAATAACATGTATTGGTGAGGATGTGGAGAAGAGGGTACCCTTATGCACTGTTGGTGGCTGTAAACTGGTGCAGCCACTATGAAAAACATTATGAAAAACAGATTGGTGGTTGCCAGAGGCGGGGGGAGGAGGGTGGGTGAAATGAGTGAAGGTGGTCATAAGGTACAAACTTCTAGTTATAAAATAAGTAAGTCCTGGGGATATAATATATAGCATGGTGTGATGCCTACAGTTAATTATACTGTCTTATATACTTAAAAGCTACTAAGAGAGTAAATCTTGAATGTTCTCATCGCAAAAAAGAAAAAATCTGTACCTAAAAAGATTTTTTTTCTTTTTGTCAAGGAGAATAATGTAGTTGACCACGCTTCCTTTTACATTTTGGCTTCTAGGAAGCTCAGAGTTAAATTTTAGGGTTAAATAAAGTTAATATGAAGACTTTCTAATTTAAAAAATATTTTGCCAATTCTGAATATTTACTCCTTATTTCTAGTATGTTATAGAATGTGTTCTTGACACAAGACCTTGTTGTAAGTTGTGCTGCATTCTTGACAAAAGACCAGTACATGAGTTTGGTGCAGCCATTATGGAAAACAGTATGGAGATTCCTCAAAAGACTAAAAATAGACTTACCATATGATCCAACAATCCCACTGCTAGGCATATATCCAGAAGGAGCCTTAATTCAAAAAGATACATGTACCCCAATGTTCATAGCAGCACTGTTTACAATAGCCAAGACATGGAAATAACCTACATGTCCATCAACAGATGACTGGATAAAGAAGTTGTGGTATATTTATACAATGGAATACTACTCAGCCATAAAAAAGAATCAAATAATGCCATTTGCAGCAACATGGATGGACCTAGA